CCGGCCCTCCGCCCTGGGTTGGCTCTTTGCTCGTTAGTGGAAGCAGCGTCAGCGAGGTGACAGCACTCGAGAGAATTTGCAGTAACATTGGGGGTGCCCCTCCCACCCTGCAGTGATGCAAACCCCAGGGACGTCCCCAGGGAAGGGCATAGGGCAGCTGGCTGCCGCCAGCTCATTAAGCTGCTAACGAGGCTCAGCTTTTGGGTAAGGTGGCTGAGTGAGGCCCCTGTTTTCAGCCTTTTCACCATCCCTGTCTCTTTGCAGCCAAGAGGCCGGTGTCCCCGTACAGCGGCTACAATGGGCAGCTGCTGACCAGCGTCTACCAGCCCACAGAGATGGCTCTGATGCACAAGGGGACGGTAAGGGCAGCACCGGTGCCTTCCACATGAGATGAGCTTTTACCGAGCAGATCAATAACAGGTGGCTGGGATGGGGCCAGATAAAGGTATATAGGGTGCACCTGATCCTCACGTCAGCTTGGGATGCTCAGTGCTGGGGTGGGTCCCCTCCTTGCCGAGCTCCCCAGGAGCATTCCCAGCCCTCTGCATTCTGCTGTTCCCCACAGAGTGAAGGTCCTTATGATGTGATCCTGCCCCGTGCCACCACCGCCAGCAGTGCCAGCTCCACACTGCGAGCCGAGGATGCCTTTGCCGTGCAGGCCCGGCACGCTGCAGCACAGCGAGATGCTCGGGGCAGCCAGGTGGGTTAATGAGCAACGAGCAGCGGGGAGGGGGCAGTGATGCTGGGCTGCTGGCCAGACTCAGGGTGCAAAGTCTGCCTACGCTGCAGAGTTTCGCATGCAGGCAGGGGTGGGGATGGCGCCGGGTGGGGATGGCTTTGAGCTGCTCAGCGTACTGCCCAGTGCCATCCTGCTGTGCCTGCAGGTGCTGTCCCCATACAGCAGGAACCGGTGGTGAAGCCCAGCTCCTACAGCACTGGCGCAGCTGTGACCCTACCATGCCTCCCTGCCTGGTGCATCTGACCCTGTTGGAACCAGTTCCTGAGCTGGGAACATCTGGATGCAGCCCCGCAGCCTGCACCATGCTGCCTGGCTGTGGCACCGCAGGCTGCCTGCTCTGTGCAGCTCCCCACTGCCACCCCATGCTGTCCCAACACTGCCTTCGCCATGCAAGGACACCCTGTCTGCTCCAGGCTGGGGATGTTTTGCTGCTGGACAGCCAGCAGCAGGGGGTGCCTGCCCAGGGCTGCACCTCGTGAACCTCACCAAGTGCTGAGCCCAGGCCAGGGCACTGCACCCCAAGCCATCCCCAGTTCTCCCAACCCTCCTGCTGTGCCTCGCTCCCCCTGTCACTGGGGGACATGGGGATGCTCTGGGTTTCAGCTCCCGGTGGTCTCTCCCCGCAGCTCCGACCACCTGATCTGTGCCTTGTCCCAGTCTCCGTGCCAGGGCTTGAGGATCACATTCAGGGCACTGGGATGGAGCTGGGCCCCCTCCTTCCTCTGTTCTTCTCCCCTTTTTCAGGTCAGACCCAATAAAGGTGAGTTTTCTTATGTGGTCCTGTAGTATGATGGGGATGGGGTGCCCAGCTGCATTGCATCCATTAGCCAAGGGCTTCCACCTCTGTTCCATCGTGTTCAGCCCCTCCTCCCTTACTTGGTGACACTGTGGATCCCCAGCATGGCCCCAGGTGGCCACATGCTCCTGCACTGGGGGCCAGGGTGGGTAAATGGCTACCCTACAGAAGGTAGCATGGTGTAGAGGACATGCCAAGGTCAGGGGCGGCTTCTGCTCAGATTGCCTTTCCCTTCTGCAGCGATTTCTGCTGCGGGCAGGAAGCCTGTGGCTGAGCCAACAGGAGCATCATGAATTATTCAGGGCTGAGATGGCTCCATAGTGGTTGGCTGGGGGAGGTGGGTGACTCGGTCTCCTTGAAGGCACCATGTGCAAGTATTAAGCACACACCGTGTCCCAGCCCTGCAGGCACATCCCCCTGCTCCCCAGGATGCTCCCAGCACTGGGGATGTGACACAGCAGGTGCCAGGGCAGATGATGGTGTGCGGTAGGAGCGGGCTCCCATCAGGCACTGCTTGTGGGGTTTGTGCTGCATCACTGGTGTTTACCTGGTGCCAGCTGGCTGTGGGGACGTCTCCAGGCAGCACCAAGAGCTCCAGGTCCCTGGGGCTCCGCAGCCTGCCCTCCTCCTGGCACTGCACAGCACGTGCTGTGTGTTCCCTCTGCCAAGCTGGGTGCACCACAGCTGCCCTGACCTGTGCAACGCACACTGTGGTCCCCAGTCAGCAGCACAGCACGGCCATCCTGGGGTGACACAGCCCCAGGGACAGCAGTCTCCCTATAAACAAGGTGCACAGACACTGTTCCCATTCAGCCTTGTGCAAGGACTCAGGGCTGGGTTGGGCTGTGCCATTCCGGTGCTGCAGGCGGCCTCAGCCCCTCCGGAGCCCCCGGTCTTTGCCAGTGCTGGCCGCAGGGCGGCTCAGCTCCAACAGGCAGCGCTTTGTGCGGCACGGGGCTGAGGAACAGCGCTGCCTTTGTCCTGTGCAGGTGAAACGGCCGCACGTGGGCTGCGCTGTGCCGGGAGCGATCTGCAGCCCTGAGGCTGAGAGCGGGGGGCAGCTGGCGGGGCTGTCATCTCCTGCATGGGGCACGGATGGGGTCCCAGCAGCGATGCTGGTGCCTGGCAGGAATGTGGACTGGGGATACTGAAAGCACGGGGAGCGTGGCTGAGGACTGCGGGCTCACGCAACGACTCCAAGGGGTGAGAGCAACGATGGAGGAAAGTGACACTGTGCAGGTGAGCGTGGACTCAGCATAAGAAAGGCTCTGTGTTCCTGAGCTCGGCTTGCTCCCCTCCTCACTACAGCCAGGGCAGGAAAAGGTCATGCAGTGTTCAGCGGAGGGTCCTGCCTCTACCAGAGGACGTGCAGTGCCAGCACTGCCAGGCCAGCCTGTGGTGACAGCAATGCCATGCATGCTGTAGGCTGGGACTGCCATCTGCTGGCACACAACACAGCCCTGTCCCTTCCCAGCCACTGCACACTGCCAGCAAAGCTGGGATGGTGCAGGAGGCACAAACAAGCGCACATCTTCAGCATTTATCAGCACTTTTACTACAAACAGGTCCGTGGCCCCACAACCTCATAGGCAGGCCCCTGCCTTCTGTAGGGTGCCCACTCCGAGGTGCTGGGAAGGGCGCAGGTCTCTGTACTGGCAGCAAAGTGGGAACAGGATGACAGTCCCCACTGAGCCCAAGGGCTCCACATCCCCAGTGCTGCCTGCGCGCCCAGCTGACCGTCACAAGGGCGGTGCAATCCTAACACTGCTCCACACGGGGGTCCAGGGGTTGCGTCCCCTCACTGGGACAGGGGGGCTCAGCCTGGTACCCTACTGCTAGGCTGGGTGCCTCCCCGTGCTGCATCCCGCTGCTGCTGCTTGCGCCTCTGGATGTCCCGGTAGGCCTGGATGACACGCACTCGCTCCTCCTGCACGATGCGCTGGCGAGCCAGTGATACTGGCACAGTGGGGGCTGCCTGGCTCTGGCCCAGGTGAGGTGTCAGCAGGAGCCGCTTCCGACCGGCCTGTAGGCAGAGATGGGATGGGTCAGGGATGCAGAGACAGGCACAGAGCCCCGTGCCCCCAAAACCTCACCTTCTCGGTGGGACCCCCACTGCGGGGCCGTGAGGTGATGGTGGGTGGCTCTGTCACAACTTCACCGAATGCCACTGGGTCTGGGAGAGAACCTGGTGTCAGGGAGGACGCTGCTCCCACCTCTGCACATGGGTTACTGCAGTCAGCCTCCCTGCACCATTCCCACCTTGGAACAGGCTCTTCTCCAGCAAAGCCTCTTTCTTCTCCTCCTTCTTTTTCCGCAGTTTGTCCAGCTTTTTGTTCTGAAACCTGAAGAGCTATCTTACAACCCACAGGGAGGAAGAGAGCTTCCACCCCATGGAATCCCCTCGAAAGTCAAGCTCTACTGTTTTCCCCTGCCTGGCCTAGCACCAGGAGTGTACAGTTGCTCCAAGGGCTGGGCTCAGATCCAGCCCTGTAGAGCTGGGTCTCAGAATCAGAGCACGGCCCTGGCTGCCCCAGCCCTGCCTCAGCAGCCGTGCTGGTTTTGCTCTCACTCTTTCTTTCTCTGAGACTTCTGCGGCGCTGCTGCCTCCTTCTCAGGCTCCCGTTGCACCTGGTTCTTGCTGAGGACCAGCACATGCTGCACCTCCCGCTCCATGCGGCACACGTAGGAGCGCTCCGACTCCCCTCTGCGCCGACGGAACCTAGGCACAGGGATGTCCTCCTGTGCCTCGGTCCCCTGAGGACGCTGTGGCTTCTCTAGGAGAAACAGACAGCAAGATTACAGGCAGGGACAGTCTGGGATGGGGACATGTTAGAGGATGCAGGCCCCCACCTGCTGCCCGCCTTGCCCGGGCCTTGGGGTGCTTTATGGCCTCACGGCTCTGCATGAGCTCCCGCAGGCGGAAAGGGATTTCCTGCTCGTCGGGGTGCTTGGGCTTCAGGTTGACCAACGCCTTCTCCTTCCTGGGGGATAACGGGAACGGTATGGGCTGTGACGGGGCATCGGGGAGCCCGGTTCAGCGGGACCCAGCCGGCCCCCGGAACCTGCCCGAGCCCCACCGCACCGGGCACTGACCTGCCGCGTGGCGTAGCGGCGGCCGGGCCCCTTCCCGGGGCCGGTCCCTGTTCCTTTCCATGTCCCGCTCTCAGTCCTTGTCCTTTTCTTTTTCCCGGTTCTGATCCCAGCCCCTTTCCGCGTCCCGCTCCCTGTCCCTTCTTTCTCCCCAGCCCCATCACCCCTCCGCTCCCCACGCGGTCTCCACTCCCTCTACTGCCTCTGCTTCCGGTTGCCCTCCGACGCCTCCACCCCGCCTCCCTCTTCCGATTGGCTGTGCTCCTCTGCCGCGCTCTCATTGGCTAACCTTGCCCAGAAGCTGGGCTACCATTGGATGAGAGAGCCGTCGCTCGGAACGGGAAGGAGGGCGGGCCGTTGCCGGAGCGCGGCGGCAGGATGTTACTGCGGGCGGCGCGGGCGGCGCGGGGCCTGGCGGGGAGGGGATGGGAGGTGAGCGGGGATGGGGCGGGGCTGCAGCCCGGAGGAGGGGCCTGGGGGGACCCGAGGGGAGTCGGGGGTGGGGGGGGGGGGGGGCTGGGGGAGTGGCCGCAATGGGGAATTTGGGGGGCCGGAATGACGGTTTGGGAGGCTGCGCTGGGGTTCTAGGGGCTGTAGGAACTGCTCTGAAGGTTCTGGGGGCTGTAATGGGGGTCTGGGGGCTGCACCGAGGGGTTTGGGGGCTGCAGTCGAGTTCTGAGGGCTCTAATGGCGGGTCGGAGGGCTGCACCAGGGGCCCAGTGCTATATGGGGCTGGTCGGGGGGGGAACAGGACTCTGTGCGAAGGTGTAGCAGAGCCCCAGGGTGCTGTGGGGGGGATATCACTCAAGGCAGAGTGCTGGGGGCAGCCCCCCCACACAGCACCACCGTAGAGCCATCCCTTGCAGGAACAGCAGTGCAGAGCCCCCCACCCCAGCACCTTCTGCAGCTATAGGAAGCGTTCAGACACCCCGAGAAGCAACTGCCAGACTGGAACCCCCCAGGGTGAGGGGGAAACCATGCGGGGGGCTGAGACCCCCTATCCACAGCCCCCTGAGCTCCCACCGCCCACCAACTGCTGCATGAGCGGCTGCCACAACTGCGTCTGGATCGAGTACGTGGAGCAGCTGCTGCAGCACTATGGGGATGGTGGGGAGCGGGCGCTGGCGGCCGTGGAGCAGCATGTGCAGGATGAGAGCATCAAAGCAGTCCTGAAGCTGGAGATCAGGCTGCGCATGGGGACGGACTGAGCCCTGTCAGCAGCTCAAAAACTGGTGAGGAACTTCCTGCTGAGCTCCAGGAGTCTCCCCGGGACAAAGGATTGGGACACGGCGTACCTGTGGGCTTTTGGATGTTGGTTTGTGAGGTGGGGAATAAGTTACAGTGTTTGTTTGCATCAGGCTGGAGGGATTCATCAAGCACGTGCACCCCACGTGTAGCCCCAGCATTGATGATGCAGGGGTGGTGTCAGCACTCTGTGCTTCTATCTGAAAATCCCTGCTTATGGCAGGGTCCTTCCCACTGCTCCTGCCTTGTCCTTGCAGCATAACAGCAGCCTGGTGACGGAAATGGGCTGTGGTGTCACACTGTCCTCCCCACGCTACACTAAGCCTCTTAGGGGCTTCTCTGTAACCGCTGTCTGTAGGGGTTTCCAGCCCTTTCCCAGTGCTGTAGGATTTGCTGGGTGCAGCTGGAGCACGTGGGCCCTGCAACGTCCCATCAAGGGCAGCTCCTCACAGTGCTGCTTCTTCCTCATTCATCTCTGCCTTGAAGCTCCTTAAACTTCACCTTGAGGCATCACCTCACCAAATCCTGCCCAGCTGAGCACAGCCTCGGCCTGATGACATGCAGAACATCACCCCATCCAGCCAGTGCACCGAACACCACCAAGAGTGGCTCCTGAGATGCTAATGAAGCTCGGTCTAGGAGCATTAATTAACAACAGGACGCTGGCCCTTGCTGTAAAAGAGGCCGGTTCTGCCAGCTTCATATGAAACACCTCTGGATCCATGTAATCCTATTTGCTGAAACCTAACTGATTGCCATTAGTGAAAGGGGCTGAAGTTCAATTAAAGTGTGCTGAGATTATACCTTTTTGTAATTGCTTTAGTGCTGGGATTACAGGAGGCTTTGGAGTGATACTCCCATGCAGCAGGGCAGAGTGGGCAGTGGGACGCTTTCACCTCATTTCGGGCTGGTGAAGCAGAGCCTGCAGTGCCCTCAGATTGTCTGTGCTCAGGTGTCCTCAGTGACACGTGAGATGAGCTGGCGACCTTCGTGTTTTGTGATCCCAATTGGAATGGTGTCAGGGATGGTGTGGGCATGCTGTGCTTGGTGCCAGCACCATCATGAAGCGCTGCCCTGAGCGCTCTGCTGCCTATGGTCCCATCCCTGTCCCCATGGTGCAGTGGCTCGAGGCATAGGGGTGTCCCTTCCAGGGGTGATGCAGGACATCCCCGTGGGTGCTCTGCAGCTGTTCCCTGCTCCAAGACCATGCTCTGTGCGGTGAGGCAGCAGTGCCAACACACAGCCCATCCCCGTGGCGTTAATCCTGACACCCCCTCCCCATGCACGCACATACTCCCACCCTCCTCCTCACAGGCACTTGGGGAAGGACACTAGATTACCCATTTGAGAAGAAGGGACTTAATCCTATTATCCCCGAAGAGGATAAATCTGCCAGCCCCCAGCCGCCACCCAGAGCACTTGGAGGACGTGTGGAGCAGGTTGCAGGGAGTCGTTTGGAGCAGCACTGGCCTTGGGGACGGTAAGTGATGGCTTTGCTATGTGTGAGACAGCACTCAGACCTGTAGGCACTGGGGCTGCAGTGCATGGCATTGCCCAGCTGGAGCCACGCTCACCTCCTGCACTTGCAGATGAGGCTCCATGCCGAGTGCTGCCAAGCTGGCAGTGAGAGCTGCCTGTGCTACAAAGCCCCAGTGCTTGGCAGGTTGCAGGATGGAGCCATGTGCTGCCCTGGGATTTCAGGATCAGCTGCAGCCCCTCCAGACCACAGCTCTCAGAGCCCTGTGAGCCACACCTGAGCATCATCCAGCTGCAAGCCAGCCCTGTGAGCAGCTTACAGCTCACTCCTGGCACACAGCTGCACTGCCCTCAACTCACAGTGGCAGCTGTGATGCCCATCTCCGCAGTTATGTATCGTGGTGGGGGCACCCTGTGGTGCACATCTACCTGCAGTGGGGGGAAAGGGCTGCAGGCATTGCCCCAAGGAGTGCAGGGGCTCAGTTTGCCCCCCTGGGTGCCCTTTGCTGTCTTTGGGGTAAGGAGATTAGCGGGGTCTGAGCTGGCCTAATTCCAGGGAGAGGAGGGAAAGTGCCCACCCCCAGAGCAGCCCAGAAAGCGGATCAGCTCTGCAGGGCTCGTGGCAGGGTGGGAACAAGGGCACCCGGATGGCATGGCACAGCACATCTCTGCACTGCGATGGCTGCAGCTACGCCAAGGTTCACCCCAGTGCCCCATGTCCTCCCTGTGCCAGGTGTGAGGAGCCATCCCGTGTCAGCGCCACAGCCACAGGGACAGTTGTGACACAGGGCAGGCTGCTGGCCCTGCTACAGCCATGAGCTTGGAGCCCCACAAACCAGAAGTCAAGTCAGCCACCCGGGTGACTGGCGGACCTGCCACCCCCCGAAAAGGACCACCTAAGTTCAAGCAGAGGCAGACACGGCAATTCAAGAGCAAGCCACCCAAAAAAGGGGTGCAGGGGTGAGTAGGGCTGAGCACCGGGGCCCAGTGTGGGACACGCCTGAAGGCACCCAGGTGATGCTGCTCAGGGCTGATGCATAGTGAGGACAGACACCTGGTTTCTTTGCAGGTTTGGCGATGACATCCCAGGCATGGAGGGGCTAGGAACAGGTATGTGGTCCCCATTGCTTTCTGCTGCAGCTGCAGAGCTTGCAGCAGGGCTGGGACTTGTGCTGATGCATCTTCTGCTCCCCACAGATATCACCGTGATTTGCCCTTGGGAAGCCTTCAGCCACCTGGAGCTGCACGAGCTGGCTCAGTATGGCATCATCTAGGCTGGCTATGGCCACCACCACCTGTCCTATAGCAGTGCTTTTTTAGAAACTGCCCCATCCACATAGCGGGGCATAGCTTGGAGAAATACTCATTAAAACCTGAAATAAACACAGGAGTTTGGTGTGATGATCTGGGCCAGAAAGCCTCTACGTGTGCTGTGAGGGTGTGTGACCACACAGGAGAGGATAGGATGGAGAGGAGATAGACCAGACCCAGGCAGGGTTCAGATTTATTATGGGATGCACAGGTACAACAAAGGAGGACAGGAAGGAGAGTGCAGGGAGCTCAGCATCCTCTCCAGCCCCACAGCACACCCTCAGCCCCGTGCCCCACCAGGTGCAATGTCTGCCAGCACTTTCAGTGCCAGGAGCAGCCCGGTGGCCTCCAGCAGCACCAGCACAGCCGCACCGGTGGCAATGCCTCCAGCCTGCGCACGCAGCCAGGCACCCAGCTGAACCACACAGCCCCCCAGGTGCACCACGCCAGCAGCTGCCATGTCCCCCAGGTGCAGCACCCCAAAGGCACATTGGTCGTTAGTGATGGAGCCGTTCTGCCGTGGATCCAGGCAGCAAGAGGCCGGGACGCTGCACGCCTGCACACCGGGTGCACTGCAGTTGAAATACCTGCAGGACACAGAAGTGCTGGCTGCCTGCTGCTTTCTTGCTAGCTCTATCCATGCCCCCCACCTGCCCCCGGCTTCACTCACGGGTTGCTCTCCCAGTCACGGTAGGAGCTGAGCCCGCAGCACCGCAGGCTGCGCTGCACCTCGTCCACCAGGAAGCGCAGGTCGGGCTCCTCCTGGTAGCGCAGCAGGCAGAGCAGCAGGGCATCCTGCAGCGCGTCCCGCAGCCGCTGCCGTGCCACCAGCAGCAGCAGTCCTCCCAGTGCCTCCAGCCCCACAAAGGCCAACACGGCCCCCACGAAGAAGCGCAGCAGGCAGGCGCTGGAGCGGAGGGCACCCAGGCAACCAGCCAGGGACACGGTGCTGGCCCCCAGCCCCGCCAGCACGAAGAGCAGCATGGGGTCAGAGCCCAGTGGGGCCAAGCGCTCACCCTGCAGCCAGCCCTTGGCCAGCAGCCCCCAGATCCCTATGGCCAGGGTCAGCAGGCCCAGCAGGAGGAAGAGGAGGTTCCAGAGGAAGGCTAAGTGCCGCACACAGTGGCTGAAGGCACTTGGCTTGCAGAGGGTGGGGCACCACTCCTCTGGGTCGTGTTTGGCCACAGGATCATCTGCATCCCCCAGCAGCAAGATGTCATCATCGTCATCAGAGAACTGGGGCAGTTCCACCAGCCGGGACGTCTGCATGGGGCAGAAGAACCACTTGGCAGCTGCAGGGCTCACAGACCCCCAGGACACTTCCACAGTGGTACCCAGCCCTCATACCCCCCATGTACCCTACCTAAGGGGGCTGTAGGCTCCTACAGCCACCACACATCCCACTGTGGCACAGGGAAACAACCGGGCATGGGGCATTCGTGGGGTCCATGAAGATGGAAGACCACAGTGGTGAGCTCCTCTGGAACACCTGCCCCTAATAGGAACCCCCATTTATCCCTATAGGGACCCCCAAGGATGGAGTGTGGGGTCATCTCCTTTCCTCCTTGGGGGTCTGTGAGTTGAGGGACATGCTTTCCCAAGGGCCATGTCCTTAACCAGGATCCCTATGGGGATCCCCCTCAGGGCCATGACATGGGGTCACCCCACAGTCCCCTCCACAGCAGGGTTAGGTCCCACCTCACAGCACAGGGTCCTTATGCGTTACCTGGGGTAGCAGCCGGCTGCTCTCCCCGCTTCCTACCTCCCCATAGGGCCTGAAGAATTGGAACAGCTTCTCCCTGCCCAGCATCATGCTGCTTCTCAGGGCTGCTGCAGTCACACTCCCATCATGTGAGAGGCTGCGGCCGGGGCTTAAATAGGGCTGCGACTGCCGGCCCCACAGCTGGGCCCACTTGGGTCCCCTCCTGTAGTTTATGGCTGGCACCATAAACAGGCAGGAAATGAGGGTCTGGGGGGGTGAAGTATCTGTGGTCTCAGAGCAGCACTGGGGAGAATGCATTCAGGGCCGGAGCCTTCTCAGAGGGATCCGCCCCGACCCCCACAGCCCCTCGGTGGGGATACAGAGACACCGAGAGACCCCGCACCAAGGGGGCGATGCGCGTCGGCGGAACGAAAAGACAGGGGCGCGCCGCTCCGGGGGGGCGGTTATGTGTGTGGCACCGAGGCGCTATGGGGGACCGGGGAGCGACGTACCGCCCCGCCCAGCGTAGGAACCCTCTGGCGGCGGAACGCCGGGCTGCGGGATCCGGGAGGCGGCGGCGGCGGCGGAGGCTCGGGCAGCGGCGGGCCGGGCCCCGTGGGGCGGCGCCGGGCCGGAGGGAGCCGAGGGGAGCGAAGGCCTCGAGGCGTAGCTGCGAGGGGGCCGTGCGAGCAGCGCAATGGCGGAGACGATCGTGAGTGCGGCCCGGAGGAGGCGGTGTGGGGCGGGGGAGGGGCGATGAGGCAGCAGATTCTTGTGGGGCGGGGTAGGCCGCAGTGGGGCTGCGTCGGTCGGGGTAACGCGGGGCCCGGGCCGGGCCGCCCGCAGGGACAGGAACGGAGGGCGGGCGTCCAAAGCGCCGTGCGGTGCTCCGTTCCGCTTCCTGCCCCTGTGCGTGGCGTGTGGAGGGTAAAGGCGACCCGCCGGGGATGCTGGCAGCTTCCCGTGTCGCCCCGGTCTGCCTTTTCCTCCTGTCAGCGTCCCGTCGTGGCTCTGTGGCTCTTCTCTGCACGTCGCTGCTCGTTTGCCCGGTCCTCAGGAAGGCGGGGGCACCCAGTGCATATTTGCTCCTTCCCGAGCTCTCGTTTCGCTGCTGGTTTTCTTCTTCTCCCGACTAAAGGCTGCAGCAGAACTGGCGGTGTTTCACCGCTGGGACTCTCGGTCCCTCGGAGAAGGGATGCGGGTCCCAGCGCTGTGCAGGTGCCCATTAGTGCTGTTTAGAGCCGTGTTTGTGTGCAGGCTCTCCCACAGAAGCTCTGATTCAGCCCCGTTCTGGAAGCTGAATTCCACGTGTGA